GGGGCGGGGGCAGCAACTACACCTGCATCCATTTCTTCTTCTACTTCTCTTGCCTGCTCTGATTCACCTGTAAAACCTAACCGTTAAACAAATACATTTTGCTTGATTTTGAGTTTCATAAACAGAGAAAGATGAGCTGCCGGCGTACCTTCCGGGGAGAAGAGTCTTTCTGCTGTATGCTGCTGCTGTATTAGAGAATGAGAATGATAAAACCCTAGAGATTTTATAGTAGGGTTTCGTTAAAGAGGGTTGGGCTATTGTGTATCAGCTCGGCCCAGTAAATATTGGGTTTTTTACTTAGGCCCAAAACAACTGAGGCCCCTACTTATTATATTTTTTGTCCACAAAACAATATATTCACTTGATTTTATCGTCATATTTTCTTGCAAAATTCAATACTTATCTTTTGAGCCGATTGTTCGATCTTTTTCAGAGCACACTCATGGGGCATTAGTATATTGTTATTGAATTAATCATGTTCATGTATTTTCGTTCAACTTGAGGGTCTTGACAAGTAAGTTGCAGAACTGTAGGCCCCATCGATCCATAAATCTTGGTATATTTGTATATTATTTCGTAGTTGTATTTGTTTATCAAACTAATTCATTATTTCGACTTCAAAATTGAGTAGATTTTGAATACTCTTTCATGAGTTACTAGATAACCTGGGACTCTCATTGCAGTGTGTTTATAGATTTATATATTAACAAGTGTTTTGCTGGTTGTTGCAAAAACAACTTTCAAACTTCAATTGTAGTTACATGTCTTGTTAAACTTGAGTGGTAATATTATACGGCAAATTTGAAAAGATAGAAGTGGTTGATTGTTTAATCAGGAAATGTCAGAACCAAGAAATATTGTTCCTAAATCTCTTTTCGAGTACGAATAATTTAAATATTTATTTACAAAAAAAAACCTTTCTTTCTTCTTATTACTCTTTCCTCTAGACATCATCATATGATTGAACTTAAACAAATTTGGCCTTTGATTCTGAGATATGCTTCAGAACAAACATGCAGAACCACTCTCATATAATATAGAATTTCTTATATAACCCTTTTTCTACACGCAGTTTCTAAATCATCGTTGAGGGTAATAACTTTTCAAGTGTTGTAAATAAATAATAACATCAAGGTAGAACTATATATAGCCTTTTTATATGTATAGATAAGATTATAAAAATTAACTAATATTGAGTTTATGCAATATATGCATCTCAAGTACTAAATTTGAAGGCTTTGTAATCAAAATATGTTCTTTTTGTTTGGGTAATAACCATTTAGAATTCTAATAACAATAGAACCAAAATCACACACAAGGAACACTGGAAAAAGATTCAACGTGATAGATGGACGCACGCACAACACGAAATAAGAACCATTACATGTTGCCATTGACACAAATGTAGCAAAATATTATATTAAAACTATTCCAGAAATATGAAGTGCACAAAAATGACCAAAGTCGACATGTCCATACTTAAAAGAGTCTACGCAAACAAAACCAAAAGACTATTAATAGGGAACAAAATCCCAGCCAATATCTAGTATTCAAGGGAATATTGGTTTGGCAATCATAATCATGGGCTCAACGCAACCTCCTGGCTTCCCTCTCAGACTCCAACAGCGTGAGAATATCACCCTCTCTGACTGGTCCCTTCACATTTCTCATGATAAACCTGTTCTGGTCATCAAGAAACTTGACTCTCACCTGAGTCACCTGCCCCCTCGATCCGGTACGACCCATGACTTTAATCACAATTGCGTGCTTGGTTACAGATTCCATCCTGCAAATGCAGAGTACATTTATAAGAAGCCAAGATGGACAACACATTGAGATGGGTCAAATGAAACAATAGAAGGCAAAAGCAACAAACCACGCCAAAACCTAGCATTTATAACTTAAGGAACCAATAATACTCTAAAGAATATTCAATATTCAAAAGATACAATACTCGAACACTCTCACATATTAAAGCATTTCATCAGTGGCAGATCAATGATCTAATTAAGTGTATTCATAACATCTCTGCACCTATTACATCTCCATTATAACAGGTAGACATGGTTTAAACATATACTCAACAAAATTTCAACTATTAGTTTCGTTGTTTAATCATTAATGCTATGGCAAAGAGACATGGAGCATATGTTTGCGAGAGAAAATATGCATTGGAGGTAACTAGACAACACCACACAGTAACCTAACAGCTTCCATTATTGTAGGTTCACATATTTTCTCCGAACTAAAGGGACTCAGATAGCCGGAATAAGGCTGCTATTGTTTTCTGCATGAGAGAGGTTGTTTGAATCCAAAATGTGGCTGGATTCACAGCAATAATCGACAAATTTATTGCCAAGATTGTGAATAGCCCACTAATTGTAAACAGGTCTGTCCACCATATATTATTCTCTGTTGCATCATTGTCAAGTCAATTAGGTGTCAAGAAATTCTCTTATTATCTTGCTTCACATAGATTTGATGACACCGGTAAAAGTAGCAATCTTGTTTTAGATTTCAATGCTAGTGGTGAAAAAACTGCAAATTTAAGCTATACCCCATTGCAGAAAAATCCAAACCTCTCTCTACCTCCTACTCTTTTCTCACCTTCACAAAATTCTACCATTGTTGGGCTGACCCGAGCTCAACTTTCCTTACATACAAGTATTATGTAAAGTAAAAGGCCTACATCCATTCATCTATACTTTTCCATGAACCTCATGTCTGTACCCAAAAGGCAAGACTTCGCCTTTTATCACACAAACGTTGAGCTAATTAAAAAAAAAAGACACATGTTTCCTTCTTCTTCGATTGATCCAAGTATTAACTTTATAGAAAAAAAAAAGTACTAGTTTTTCAACACCTATTTTTATCACCAGGCAACATTCAATAAAAAAAAAAACAATAACAAATCATGAGTTCATGAGTTCCCAATACAACAATTATTAAACCAATCAACACAAATCTAAGTTGAGCTAAAAGATTGAATCTTATCATAGAATCAAAGCAAAAAACAACAGATTAACAACACATTCGTTACAGATTATTGAAAAATGGGACGTGTTTTCAAGGAAATTACACAGAGACAGATTCGACGGCGAGAGCGGCTTACCTTCCGGTGAGAAAAATCTGCTGCTGTATGTTGCTGCTGTGTATCAGAGAGTGAAGAATGATAAAACCCTAGAAAATTTATAGTAGGGTTAGGTGGCTGAAGGGGGGAGGCCTATAATGCGATAGAGCTCGGCCCAGTAAATATTGGGCTTTCAGCTCTGTTATGTCCTAGATCCATCTGTGTCTTAAGGCCCAAATTCAATGTTCAAATTTATTGTTAGGGAAAGAAATATGAAAAAACTAGCTAATTACGTAAATATTTCTATTATAAATACTTATTTTATTCAATAGTTTGAAATAATTATATATTTTGATAGTTAGATAGTAAAAGGCCTACATCCATTCATCTTTACTTTCCATGGTTGCACCGAAAAGGTGAGACTTCACATTTTATCGCGCAAACATTGAGATGATTTTTTTAAAAAATGAAAAAAATACCGTTGATACACATTTATCCCTTCTTCGATTGACCCAAATGTTAACTTTGTACACATTACATTTTTGTGAGGTGATTGAAATGGAGGTTAGCATCTGGTGTTTTATGTGATAACAAGGTGTGACTAAGATTTAAAGGTAAGCTCTATAGAGCAGTAATCAGACCGACTTTGTTGTATGGGACGAACTATTGCCAGTCAAGAAACTTTCATGTTGAGAAGATGAAAGTTGTGGAAATGAGGATTTTTAAGATGGATGTGTGGGCTTATTAGGAGAGATATGGTAAAACAATAAAGATGATCGGGCCAACGTGGAAGTGACCTCTATAGAGGACAAGATACGGAAGGCTAGGTTGAATTGGTTCGAACATGTCAAGCGAAGATGCACCAATGCTCCAGCAAGGAGACGAGGTTGATATTGGAGGGCTAGGAGATAGGTAGAGGTAGGCCAAAAAAGTGTTGGGGAAAAGTTATCATGCAAGATATGACATGAGGTCGAGGATTCAGCTAGTAGGCTAGTAGTAAACAATTTTGCGTTGGTCTCTTCGACTAGTAGTATTAGTATTATTTTACTATTTTTGTGTTTCTCACTCTTAGTTTTCTACTACTTATTGTCTCGTATGCCTCTATATTCTTATTATCATGCTATATATTACCTATGTTTTTATAATTGTTGTGTTTTTATTTCCTTTGAACCGAGGTTCTTTCGGAAATAATCTATCTATCTAACAAGGTAGAGATAAAGTTTGCATACACTCTATCCTCTCCAAACCTCACTTTCTTCACAATCTTGAAAGATCCTGGCAAGAATCAGGTCATTGGGATACTATGTCTACAAGCATTCAAAACCCAAGGCTTTTTTATGAACCTTGCACACACCTCGATCAATTTGTTAATTTTCACACGCATAGATATCGAGTAACTATATCCACCAAGACTTAGATAAAATGGAAGAAATCACCTAGCGCTTTTGGCTCCACTAGAATAATTGAGTAATTGAGGACCTGAAGTCTTTAAATTTCTTGACCAAAAAAGAAATAGAACAAGGATAAATCAAATGCACACAATTGAATCAGAGAAAAGTAATTCTGTTATTTGAACTTTTATTCTAAATAATCTTTAAAAGAATGTGCTAAAAGATAATTTACATCTTGTTGTACAGACCTACATAAGGAAAATGATTCAAAAGGGAAAAAAAGAGACAAAATCCTAGCAAGTTCCTCTTTGGAATTACTAATTAATCAACCAAAAACTGCTTCTCTTTTTACTGATGGACTATCTGATTCACAAAATACAACTAGTTCAAAATCAGGTCTTTTGCCTTGATCATTTGCTTCTCTAGAAAAGATTGTTGGCGTATAACGACGAGCACATTTTGAGGAAGCTGGAAATGCAGTTCTCGGAGACAATTGAACTTCCTCCATTACGCGAAATTGGAGCTCAGATGGATAGTCCCTCATGCAACCGATACGAGGTCCAGCTCCAGTTGACCATTTACATGAAGACAATTGATGAGCCAAATGATTTGATTTCATGCCTATATGTGAATGTATTCTCTTGATTATCTTTTCTTCAGGAACAGGTTCTTTGAATTCCTCTTCATTTTCATGATCGAATAAATTCTTCTTCGAAACTGAAAACTCTGTATCTGATAAGTACTCGTCTGGTGTTTCGTATCCATCTGCTGGAGTTTCCACAGGCTGTACCTGTTGGGCTGTCTCCTTAAACAACTCGAATATGCCTTCCTTTTCCGGTATTTCAACAGCGATTTTGGGTCGTACTCCTCGGGACTGACTTGGAAAATGTGGTACTGAAAAGTCTTCGTCATCACAATCCTTGTTGGTAGAATCAATCCTCTTTGTGTCCGAGCTTTTGAGGATGCTCTCTTTGTTGAATTGGCTGAAATCCGAGACTGATAAGTGTTTACATATGCTAGTACGACATTCTTTCCTGATAGAGGGCGCGTCCTCCTCATAATTGGTGAATTTCTGCAATATCAGGATTTAAGTTTAACAAATTATACATAGCTCATCTTGCCACGGTGAGTCAAGACAGTAACATAAGCGGATTCAAAATTTAAGTTAGTGATCAACGTAGAGAGAGATTATTTCTAATAGACCCTCGACTCAAAAGAAATGTAACTGATGTAGGAAAGTAAGACAGAAAAGGGACAACAAAATAGCAAAAATGTACAAAACAAATGTAGCAACATATATTAATACACACTGGGAAAAAGTGGACTACGTGATACTTAAATCAAACTAATAGTAAGATAACACTCGACTACCTACTAACCTTCTACCCTAATCCTCGACATTCAGATCTTGCAAAATATCAATTTTGTTTGAAATAACAGTTTTTGCGTTAAAAGATCTATCTTTTAGCAAATGCTTATACCTGGACAACAGCGATATCAACGTGATGTTGCTTAAGAAATAACATGAATGCTTCGAAATTCTCCTTTGTGGGGAGATAATGTCCACTCTGAGGCCAGACTGCCTATTTCATGCAAGAATTTAGATACATCAACAACCAGGTTTCGGAGGAAAAAAATGATATATAACTTGTTGGTAAAATCATGGCAGTTCTCTTTACCTTTATAATACCATCTTCCGCCACTAATCTCCCAGCAGACAACGCGGCACCACCTGCTAGGAAACTTGAATGCTGAAATGTGCCTTTTTTTTTCATCCCAACGTACAAGATTTTGGACACGCTTAGCACAAAGATCCACTTTGCCTCTGGAGGGCCTCCTCTCGTATCGAGAAGCCTTCTACTCTGCTTGTATAAGAATTTTCCACCCTCAATGACAATTTCATATGCCTCCCTCTCTATCTGTGATTATTCGTAGCTCATGAGTTGCAAATAATGTTTGCTCTCGAACATTTTTACCTACTTTATGCAATGTATCTAGAAGTAGAATTATTTATACTCAAATTTACCAATAAGAAAATGTTACAGATCGAAAGAAGATAACACTCACCGGTCCAAGATACTTGATGCAGTCTTGTTGAAGTTTCGGTCTAGCACACCTCTCAAGATTTATTTCTTTACCTTCACCTATGTCCAACCTGTTACGCGACATACAAGGGGAAAATGTCATACATAGTTTACGAAATCAGTTCTGAAGTTTCTTAGTTTGCTTGAATTTCTTGCTGATCAAAGAAAATCTAACCAATAAAAGAAGGGTTGTTTACTGTCAGCTTGGAGCCACTTGTTGTAATAAAATCGAAGGTTGTGTCCATAACGATGTCGAGGATCAATCTGTTCACCAAAATTTATAAAGAACATAAACAAAAATCCCACACAAAAAAAAAAAATGAAATTTGGGTTTGTTGAACTTTGCTCTTGAGAAGTGAACTTACTGCTTCAAGCCAATGCTGCAAAGCAAGTTTACGTGCTTTCCCATCTTTGGACAGACCTTTACCGACCTACCAACACACACGTAAAGTCCTTAAATCTAAGCTTAACCAACCAAAAAAGAAGGAAGAATCACAAGAAATGAATCTAACAGGGAGTTAGCACAAATGTAAGGTTAATTCATACCTTCGCAGTTCTAGTTAATGCTCGTGACCAACGAGAAACAGCAGTTTGAAGTTTCTTGGTGTCAAAATATGATATAGAACTGTGCTTTAGTTCAACAGAATCCAGTAGCTTCCACCTGTAAATTACACCAAAAGCTCCATAGTCAATGCAACGTGTGTGAAGACATGAAATGACATGACAAATATCCACAACAAAAGTTCCTTTACTACTCCCTCCGTTTCAATGTTTTGTCTGGTTATGACAATTGGTACGAAGTTTAAGAAAGTAAAAGAAGACTTTTGAATCTTGTTGTATTAAACACATCATGTTGAAACTGAAGAGTTGGAAAAAACAAGAGGAAAGAGACACCTTTTTTAAAACGGACTAAAAAGGAAAGTAAGACAAACAAATTGAAACGAGTGGAGTATAATTTATAAACTACTATACCATCTATGCTCAACTAGAACAGCACAATCAGCTAGCTGTCTTCGTGTACGAAAACTTTTATATGTTTTCTGCAACTTTACAGCAGCCTGATCTCTATGCTTTCCATACTCTACTGGCAACATCCTAGTATCTTTATCGGAGATACTATGCAATTTCGGAGAAACTTCAGCCCTGTTCCACGGGTTGTCTGATCTATTGATCTTCTTTTCCTCCTTATCAGAAATAAGAGTCCTCAATGCAATCTTGGCCTCAAATTCCCTCCTTTTATAGGTTAGAGTTCCCTCAAGGATCATATTCCCAGAACCAAATGACTTCAAGATTTTCGACTTTCTAGTAATTTGGTCATTGAAATTCCTTGGCTGTAACACATTCTTCATATCATCACTTCCTAAACTTAATGTTCTCACCAAATATGATTCAACCCGACTATCCAAATCCTCGAAATTGGCAAACGGACAGGAAAATGTAATTCCCATCTTCCCTGCAAAAGTTTTACTAGGATATTATGTGTCAAGTATAAAACCTCAGAAATATGAACATCTGCAAAATCAAAACAAATGCATACCGTATTAATTTCACCGATAATTCTATAAGTTTATGATGAACAAATCTAACAGAAGAAACTATTATCTGTAGTTATATAACAGAAAAAACTAAATAGCACTATGCTCAAGTTTACAACAATTGTCAAACTTAGTAAAAAGAACAACAACAACGCCTCAGTCCTAGACAAATTGGTGTCATCTATATGAATCATCTCTGACCATGTTTCACCATTTAAATTCATCTTATGCCAACATTATGCAAAATAAAAATAGAAGTACTAGAAGTTCTCCACACTTTCTATTGGCATGTATATATTTTTGCATGGAATTTCATCATAAAACCATTTGCCAATCTTGAAAACAACATGAAACAATGTTTAAAAATCTAATATTTTTTACACATATCACAATATATTAAAAAAGGGGTGAAAATGATACATCTTTTTACCTTAATAATACCTACGAGAATGACAATTTGTGAAATTTGAATATAAAAAGGTTGAACCTTTGGAATGCAATGGGAAATAAGAGAAAAAAGAAAGAATTTTTTTTTGAGAGTTAACCAGAAAGAGAAAGAAAATGTTGGATAAAAATCAATTTGAGATATACCGCAAAATGTGGGGGGTTTTAAGGGAAAATGAAATAATTTGGGTTCTAACCAAAACCAAGCAAACTTCAGTAATTCTTATATTTACGTCAAACAAATGAATGCATAATATATATTGACAAAAACTTATCCCCATTCAATATTCACGTCACACTAATGATAACGTGACACATCACTACTAAAAATATATGAATTATATTTGCGATGAAAAAAATTTGAGGGAGATATATTTGTTGGAAGTATAGGATTTCCAGTGGAATGTACGTCAGAAAAGCTTCCAACAAGTCAATTTCAGATGGACCTCCATTGGAAATTCGCGCATTTTTAGTAGTGGTATTCTCTCCATGCTCTTTTATCACCTAACTATGGTTAATTAATGTGTATTTTGTTAATACAAATATCAAGAATATCATTTTAAACGAGTAAATTCATATGAAGAAAGAAAAACTAAAAAGAAATAGAGAAAAGTTATGTCTTACAAAAGTGAGATCGGTCAAATTTCTTTGTTAAAGATGAGATTTCACGTACTTATGGAGTGAATGGATGGTGAAAGGCCATTTTAATGTCTAGGTAATAGACCTTGTTGAGTTGTTTGGCTATACAGTCTCTAGGTACAATGTATGTTCGTTTGGTTTTGCTTTCAATTAGGTAATTATAAACTATATACAAATAGCAACCGTGTTTTATAGGGTACAAGCATCAAGCAAGATGCTTTTACTTAATACAAAACAAAAAGGAAGGTGTTAATTACCTTTCAAGACAAAGTACTATTTGATGACATGAAATGTCTAGTTTTGGTCCTTATCTATTTATTTTTCGAAAATGAAAACTTGTCAACCACCGAAATAGAAATCAAATGTTTCCCGGTTCAAAACTATTGAATATTGTCTAAATCATCATTTGTCGGAACTCTTCAACGTAAGTTCCTTGGCTTGGACAGGACATTTAGCCATGTTGCTATTCCTGCATCCATGTTGGGAGTACGTTATAGTTTAATTCTAAATTGAATTTTTTATGATCACATACAATTTTATTATAGTTTGCAAATGAATGTAGTTTTATTACATCATCAGAATTGTAACATTATTTCTTCTAATTAACCAAAAGAATAAATTATAAATACATTTGATACACTCATTATACAATTATACACATATTAGTTATTACATACGAACTATAGATCGGTTAGCTATTTTAAATTTAAGTGATAGATGGAATCCAGTTTTTCTAGTGTACCCTACTTTTATAAAAACTTAAAGAATGAAGTAGGATTTTGTAATGGTGTGTATAATAAATTGACTGCAAACAGAAAAGAAAAATCATTAGGGACTAAAATATATATTGTTAAGAAATATAGGACTGAAAGTGTAATTTGTTCATAAAATTTCTAAACCCTCAGGCCTCAACCCTATATATGCCGCCTTTCTTGTCTTCAGTTGCCCCGCCAGTTGCTCCGCCGCCAACCGCCGTGCAGCTGCTCCGCCACCGCCGGTATCTATCTTCCTTCTGTATGCTCCGACTTAATTCTGTTTCCGTACACTTCTTCTGCTTAATTTTGTTGTTGTTGTTACCCCCTACGGTTTCCCAGTAGTTCCTCAATAGTTGAGATGAAATTTTTATTAGGTCGATGTTTTTTGCTATAAAAATTTGATCTTTGCTGTAGAACTCTAGTGTGTTGCTTATTGAATCTCAGTTTTTCCTTGTTAGTGTTTTGGTTTTTGTTTAATACTGCTTTTGTTATGGTACACAGTGAATTAGGGCAATATAACAGGACGACACAATGAGATTGGAAAAATGTTGGTTTTGTTCCTCAACTGTATATCCAGGCCATGGTATTCAATTTGTTCGAAACGACGCAAAGGTAGAATATTAAGCTTTCTTGCTTTGTTGATTTGCGTCAGTTAAATTTGGTTTCGATTACTTGTGTATGTTCTATGATTGCCATAGTTAGGTTTAAGAAAATGGTACTGTACTTAATTAGCTGGACTCATTGTTTTCTGTGAAGAAATCATAAGATAAGTATCCTGTAAATCTTCGACTTGTTAATATCAAGCTATAATTCATACTTTCTTGTTTGAGCAGGGATTAACAAGAACCTTTTTATTCAAATGATCCATTAATTGAGCTAACCATTTTAAGTGATATTATTACTCGGGGTGAGCTCTTGGTTAGCATTGCTTGAGATTTGAAAAAAATATATCTTCTTTGTGGTAAAATTACTATGGGAAATCCTGATTACTAGAGGGAAACTGATTCATATAAGTTTCAACGGCTCTCTCCATCTAGCCTAGCACTGGCTGGTTTAGTCCATAACACATATAGACCAGACATAAGTACCATAGACATTTAGATTTTTTTCGACAAAGTAATAGTTTATTGAATAAACGAATTATTGAAGGAAAAGAGGCAAAACTAAGGTTTAGACATGTCTTGTAAAAAGTTAAATATTCATATACTGTAATCATAATCTGTAAGCATTGCATTTGGATTGTGGAACTACATGATTTTCACTATTTGTGCACATAGTCGGGAACTTGATCAAGAAAACATACCTGACTCCATTAGGTTCCCTTGAGCTTTGACGATATTAGATGCCTTTGTTCTTTAAGTTTTAAGGGATTCTGATTTCTCTTCCTCTTCTCTTTCAATTTGCGTTTGTAAGTAGTGACAATTGGACAGAGAGGAAATGTTGGTTGCTAGCTTCCACCTTTGAGAACCAACATGCTATGGGTCCTTTAGTGATTCTTTTCCACCGCCCCCCTATAATAAGGATTTTAGCTATTATTTTTTAGACAATACTCTATCTAACCTTGAGTAAAATGGTGTACTTAATTCAAAGCGAACTAAATTGCTGTTCAATTACTTATTGAGTCACATGCAATAATAGGGGTAATTAACTCTTTCAATGCTCAGTTGCAATTAAGCCTTGAGTGGATAAGTCAGTAATTTATGATCTTTCTGGTTGTCTTTTGACGGCACACCATGTTATTGAGACACAATTCAGATAAGCTGTAGTTTTGAGGTCTTCTTTTCCTCAATGTTTATCTCTGCCTTTTCTTTTCTTTCCAGTTTCGTGCGGTCATCATGAAAAGGGTGTGTGGGGGGGGGGGG